GGGGGGGGGGGGGGGGGGGGGGGGGGGGGGGGGGGGGGGGGGGGGGGGGGGGGGGGGGGGGGAAAGGAAAAAAGTACTACAGAGTGAATGGGTCCTTTTATTTTTGCATATTTTCTTTTATTAAAAAAGTAAAAGAAAAAAAATTTTTTTTTAAATTTTCACCATAAAAAAAACAAAAGAGATTTTTGGGCCTCTCGGAAATACGCCGAGCCTCACTGGGTTCCTTTCTCTGTTTTTTGTCTGTGTGCTCGTCTGCACCGGTTTTTCATCTCGAGACCTACAAAAGCCGCAAGGCCGAAACTTTGGGAAGTTAATCTACATGCAGGTACAGGTCTCCATCCTCAAAATGGGCGCTCTTGCCCACGTAGTTCTTTCATTTCTACTTTTTCACTGATAAAAATTTTGCGCTAACTAAAAGGAAAACTACTTAATTTCTAACGAAAATCGGACAATTCTGCGGTTGGCATGCCGAGCGCATTGTTATTTTAGCATAGCGCAGTGCTAAAAATCACTGGTTGCACTCGGAACATAAATCCTGGGTGATTTATTGAATTGTGCGTAAATCGTAATTTTGAGTATTCTGGATTTGAAATTTTGTAAATTTCAGGAAAAGTGCCTTGCGATAATGAATGGTGTAGCTGTTGAAACAAATCGTCCGTTACGATATCGTTGTACATATTGCGAAAGGATGTTCCATCATCGGAAGGATAAGGTATTTTTTGTTGGCATCGCTTCACTGTTTTGGTTGCTTGTACTCACAAAATTGCCATAGAATCGATCGAGAGTTGGTTTTTTTTTTTGAAATTTTGAAATTTTTTAGAATTTAAACCTGAATTTGAAGGGAGGGGGTATAAGATTAGAAATAAGTTTGTATCTATTTCGGCTTCTGATTGCTGTTTTTTCGTACATTAATTTTTGCACATTTTGCAGCGAAGAAGTCTAAATTAAATGTTAGCAATTCCTTTTTAACAAAAATTTCTTTCTTGCATTTTCTCCCTTATTCTCACTTTTTCCCTTCATATATCCTCTCCTTTCTGTACTGTTGAGGGTCCGAAACATTGTAAATTAGTGGATCGAAACGTCTTATCTCATTCTTGCCTCTTTTCCTCATTCTTTCCTGCTTTGTGTATTCAATACGCCTTCGCACTTTGGCATCCAAAGTCAACCTGGAT